TCTCATCAACAAGATATGTTTAATTATCAACAGACTTTATATCATTTGACGTTTTACGTCGTTCATAAATATGGTTTGTTTCATACATTTCAGTTTCCGAATATATGAAATAAGTTTAGTACAAAATCTTTAACGTATTATAGATATAAAATTGAACTTTATTACCCTTTTAAAAAAAAGTATCACAAAAAGCCTGAGGTATGCTTTTCACTCCGGAATTGGAAGCTCTTGAAGTGCGAGCAAACACCGCAAATGCAATTCCTAAACAAATCAATTTGAACTGTTTTGGAAGCGCCAAATCCATTTTAAAAGATTTATGGTTTCGCGATTTCAATTCCAGAAACAAGATAATGTATATAAAAAAAAAAGTCAATTCGAGATAAATTTATAAATTTCAGAAACAAGATAATTTATACACGAAAAATCAATTGAGTTAACATTTTCTTAACTCAATTGATAACTTAATCTTGGAAGTCTTATTGTGATACAACATTTACACTTCCAAGATGCTCAACTTCCCGATGATTCAATGAATATCGACGAAATTGGCAAGATGTTTGGCATCAATGTCAACGAAGATTCGCAGAAGCCTTACGAAGAACCAGAAATGGAATACGAATGTCCAAACGATCATTATGGCTGCTGCGACAAACACATCATCAAGTTCGAGATGAACCACTAAGTAAGCTATTTTAAGTGTGTTTTAAGTATGTTTTTAAGTGTGTTTACAATGTAAAATAAATAATTATGTAAGCATGATGTAAGCGATGATGTAATCGCTGCTTATGTAAGCATGATGTAAGCAATGATGTCATTGCTGAGGTAAGCGTTTATGTCAGCGCACTCATCCTCACCTATAAATATGTGTGTACCCCCATTGTAAAATATCAAGTTTGGAAAACATTAAAAAGCCCTCTCTAAGTTCTCTCTCTAAAATGTCTTTCTAAGTCCTTTAGTTTTCCAGACCTTCAAACTTCTTTCGTAAGTTCTGATTTCTATCTTCCATCCCGGAAGTCGAGATTCTGCTCCGTTGCTTTAGATAAGCACGAGTGGATGTCAATACGACGGTCAATATGANTTTCGTGGGGAACGTATTATCCTAAGAGTGGTTGAGCTATTGAATGGCCAGAGTAGTGCCGATGTTTGCTCCTAATACCTGGATAATATTATCACCCTCGTCTGACAATATGACTTAGTCAATACGGCGTCCTCTCTATGGTTACACTTTAAACTATTTTTCTTCTTCTGAATCTTTGCCTACAATAACTGGATAAATTTTAATCTTTTGATTCTTTTATCGAGAAAAATGTTGATTCATACCCAAATTGTACTTGATGAGAAGATTTATACATGAATTTGGGCTCCAATGTTAATTCATACCCAAATGAAATATAATATTGCTTGAACTAATATTTGGTGAGCAAATGCTAACTGAAGAATAACAGAGGAAGAAGAGATGATTCAATGGTTTTCTTTGATCAATATTGACTACAACTATTACAACATCATATACACAGCAAACGTATCTACTTTCCTAAAGAGATAGCAATCACAATAACTATACATTGAAAGAGTATAAATCAGAGGTGTGATTGGCAAGTTATAGGAGATACGATTTGGTTGGATCGTATCCTAATA